GAAAGCACAGACCGGACATGGCAGCGTATCTATACATCCCACATAAAAAAAGACACTCAGTAAAGATCTGATATTACTTGCAATTACTGACAGCTAGTATTGTCTTTTTTTTTGGTAAATATGTTATTTTATTGACTTTTGGAAAAACTTATATTATTTTCGTCCCGGTGAATATCAGTTTTTCAAAAGCCAATAAAACCACAAATTCACCTAATGAAAAAAATAGTAATTGTATAGAATAGCTGGCTTTTGGAACTCAACTGTCATCAAATGTCCAGTGATTTTTTTTCAAATTATAATTTATCATTTAAACATGAACTTTTACCGTAATTTCAAGGCAGTGCACATTGTAACAAATTGATTAATTTTTTTATGGAAAATAGATTGCATTTTTAATATTCCTTATCAACTGTTGAAAATAGTTATATTTATCCATATGATATTGCAATCGACAATAACAGCTTTCATTGCTCATTTGTATGCATTAGTTAATTTCATAATTATTATATATAGAGAGAGTAAGAGAATATCCTTAATTTTTTCCATGTTATAAAACAAATTTCAGTTGTTTAAATACGTACGGTACAGTCTTTGGACTACTCCGTTCTTAATATACCTTTAAAAAATGTTAACATACACACTGTATATGTAATACCATTATAACACTTTTAATGCTATTAATATCATTACCAGATGCATTTGGCAAATATCAATTTAAATGGATTGCGTCTTCGCTCGTAACATTGGAAACTTTATTAATGGAATAGAACACTTTAGTTTTGGTTATATAGCTCTCCAACTGTTTAGGTTCTTATACATCCTTGGCTTTCAAATATTTGGCTTTGAGCGTTCCTGATGAAGGTAAATTCAGAAAGGCGCTTCGGACCTGGTGTTCATTCAATTTCAGAGGCTTACATAATTATGCTTCAACATTAGATAAAAATTGAAAATAATGTTGCTCTGGGAAGCCAGTAAATTACCCTAGTCAAATAAGAAGTCGCATTCACGTTTGGAAACGGACAATTGGTTAATTTTCATTAAATAGAAGAGGGAATGTTCTGAAGAAAGGAACGACCATTAACGGTGATCATTTTGTATATTATGAATAAAATTGATTTTTTTTTTTTTATAAATTTATGAATTTTTAAGAAACTAAGGTTCTAGCTCCCTATTGCAAATTAACCTTTATGATTTTGAACTTTCCTTATGAGGCCCCTTTTTGTCATATAGCTCATAACGTATCCAAATGGTTGTACAACCTTTGTTTTCAATTTTAGGGTTTGAGCGTTAGAATGTAAATCTAGAAAAAAGGTCTTCGAATGCGTCAAAGTATGAAAATTACACTTTATAAATTTTGTGCGTCCGAAGCGTTTTTTCTTGATTTACTTGCAAACTTCTAGTGTCGATTTAATTCGTTCTTCCTCATACCTCTGTTGGAGCAGCTTTTGTGTAAGAAACAATCCTCTACTTATGAAGTCCATATAGTTAAAACATGCATGGACGTAATATTCCAATTGCGATATACAAATGCCATACGATGTAGCACAGGGTATATTACTACCGAGATATGGGAAGTTAACATCTGTAAACTTGACCTCACGTTTGTCATAGATCTAGCAAAATCCTCTCGCATCAATCTGTGCCAATATCAAGTTAAACATCAAGATGATGAATGATACCTTTTAGTTTTGGTAGTATCCTTAATCTTATGGTTAAGGGAAACATGCAATGCAAGCACCCATTGACATATATGTTTATTGATTGATAAGACATCATCAATATACATCTGAAGAAAAAATTAAAGAACTTTGTAAGATGTTTTTTTTCGTTTTTCTTTGAAGTATTTAATGTGAATTCTGCTTCATATCAGTCAAAAAAGAACAATTAGGCCAGTAGAGATGCACAATTAGTACTTGATGGAAACCACCTGTCTATTGAACTATCAATCATTCAAAGCCAACAAATATGTTGTCGATCAAAAAGTACTTGACTAAATCATCTTCGGTGTACCGGTATTTGTTTTTGGAACCTATGTGGTTCGTAACAAAGTAAGATTTTTCATGAAAATAAATTGAAAATTCCTGTTGGAAATTAGAACAGTTAATTAGTATTTCACATAAAAAGCTTTCAGTACGATGGAAAATTTAAAAAAATAGGATACATTGTATGTGTAATTTTTGTAAACTAGAATAAAATGTTATATTGTTTGTTGAATAGTGGCTGGTCACCTGCCTTGCAACACGCCACATACGGACTCCTCAGATAGTTATTGCAGTGGTTCATCGAGGCAGATGGAACATGACACTGTCCAAATACGAGACGTTTGATTTAACATCTCCTTTCCTAATTGATGTCGTTGGGTACTTATACAAAACGCATAGCCAAACGGGAGCCTCATCTTAGCACAGTGTTAGGTGCCGAAATAGAGATTTCCAATGATTGTTATAATTCCTTACTCGAGTCAACCTATCACATTCATTTGTTTTCTTTTTTTTTAATTGCATTTTATATACTACAGTTTCTGCATATAATTATATTTTTTTCTGTTTTAGGTCTTTAAACCGTTAAAAGTGAGTCTAGACACTACAGATGTAAAGATGAAAATCCAGTAATTTGTAAGCACTCTTTTAGATAAAGTTCTATTACAAAATAAAATAAAATTTTAAACCATTTTCATTAGCAAGAATGGCCTGGTACATTTATAACGAAACCCTGTGTCTGAAATCATCTTAAATACATTTTCTACAAATCAGGTTTATAATATTTGATGTGTTCATTTTCTGTCTCCCTGGGGACATGTACATGAGAACACACACACTTATGCACACAAAAACACAAATATACATCTTTGACACTCACACATTTGATACACATCAATTATTTTAATTAAACTTTGTTTTCAGGTAGCATGGAGAAATTTCCTTCCCTAGCAGCACTAGGCTTTACAGTTTCTGTGAATAAAAGACTGGAGATAGATGAAGTAGAAGACAAATTTATAACTAATAAACTACTTCTTGAATTGAACAGCATTAAAGAAAGGTCCAATGGTGATTACACATACCAGGATGTCCTCAACTGGATATCAAGTCTTTGTGGTAAAGAAAATGTAACCAACAAACACTTTATATTTAAAGGTAAAATCAATACTACTGAAAATCAAGACAACAGTTTCAAAGCTAAAAAAAAGCAAACTTAACAGTGAACATGTTGAAAATTATTTAAATTTGGTGATAGACACTGATACATTATTAGAAATTCCGCACAATCCAAGAAAAAGGAAGCATCATATCATTGAAACATATCATACAGAAAACATTTCAAATGTGAAATCAAAGAAAAGAAAAACAAATGAATTGAAATACAGAAATATAAGCAGCACATGGAGAGAGGCAAATAGGAAACTTAATTTCAAACTCCAAAACTGTGAAAAACAGTTAAGTCAGACAAAAAGAAAATTGAAAATATTACAGATTCAAAACAAAATATACAAGAAAAAATATACCAAAGTATTCAAATTTATGACAAAATGTAGAAGTAAGACCGAATTAGAGACAAAAAGAGATAAAGAGAAAGTACGATATAAGAAAACACAAACTAACAAAATAAAGCAGCAAACTCAAACTAAACTGGACAATTTGAAAACAGCCATAGAAACCCATGAAGAAATACATAGACTAAATCGCTTAGAAATCACAGATCTAAAAAACAGATTACATGACTTGGAATTGGAACTAGAAAAAGATGAACACACTGCCGAAATAGATTTAACAAAGCACAGTAAATTTGGAAGATATACCTATACAGCAGAGACAGATTTATGCATAATGGAATTATTGAACTGCCATGTTCCCTTTGATAGAGTTGATACTGTCATTAAAATTGTTCTTTCTCTGTGCATGTTGAAAGCTAAAGATGAAACCTTACCAAAGAAAGATTATGTTTCATCTGTTAATGTCCGTAGACTTGCCATTAGTCAAGCTCACATTACAGAGACATGCATAGAAGAAAACAGAACATTGTACACTGACGAAACAAGAACAAATGGACAGTCATATGGCGTTTTCATAACATCCAATGAAAACCAAGAACCTTGCTTATTGGGACTGAAGCACATGTCAAGTAAAGCATCAAAAACAGAGTTAGAAACACTGAAAGAAATGTTAAAAGAAACTGAGAATCGTACTCAATATTTGCAAAATGAAAATCCTCCAAGTTCGGCTTATAACATTACAGAGACATGCATAGAAGAAAACAGAACATTGTACACTGACGAAACAAGAACAAATGGACAGTCATATGGCGTTTTCATAACATACAATGAAAACCAAGAACCTTGCTTATTGGGACTGAAGCACATGTCAAGTAAAGCATCAAAAACAGAGTTAGAAACACTGAAAGAAATGTTAAAAGAAACTGAGAATCGTACTCAATATTTGCAAAATGAAAATCCTCCAAGTTCGGCTTATAACATTTTAAAAAATATTTCAAATACAATGTCTGATAGAGCTGCGCCAGAAAAATCATTCCAGCAACTTCTGCAAGATTACAGAACAACTCTTCAGAAAGAAAACATGGGTAACTTTAATGAACTATCAGAACCAGACCAATTACTGATTACTAAAATGAATAATTTCTTTTGTGGTCTTCATCTTTTAGTCAATATTGCAGATTTAATGTGCAGTATCTTCAAAGAATGGGAGCAGACTGTGATGAACAAACAAGTAGGTGGGGAGTCTGCAATTATAAAAACAGTTAGAGAAGTATGCAAGGCGTTTGTTCCTGGCGTGGACAATAAAAATGGAGCATCACTAGAGCTAAAAACATACCTGTCAAGAATCAACGTTAACTTTCAATTGAAGGCATTCCAGGGTAACCGATTCAACATTGTCTTCCATAATGGAGCAGTATTATATTACCTTCATGAACATTTCATTTACTTCCTTGAAAATATAAAATCCGAAGGCAATACAAATACATTGAATATGCTGATACAGGACGTATTGAGAAATTTGAAATGCAGTCACAATATTGTAGGATTAAGGGCATTAGGAGTTTTCAATAAATTTATAACAACACCTCTTTGGAAAATTATTGAAGCTGACAATACACATATTCTAGACATGAATGCGCACTACCATAATCTCATCCAATTTTTAGAAGATGTTGCGACAAATGTAGAATCAGCAAACGAACTCTTAACTGGCGAAAGGCGGCCATTCCCCAATATAAAGATAAAGAAAGATGAAGTCTGGGAAGTTTTGGTCAAACAACAGACCAATGATGCATAAACTGTGAGTCTGTTGATGCAGATGGCTGCCGCAACATGCAAATCATTAAAAGAAAAAGTAAAAGATCATTTACCCGGTGGAAAATTTGAAAATGTTACAGCAGAGGTACAAATACAAATGAAATCAGTCATTCCACACAACAAATTACCTGAGTGGGTATTTGGATACCTGGATTGGCTCCTTAAACACAGACCAAATTCAACTAGACTAGCCAAGGAAGCACACATCGTTTACAAATTGAACAAAACATCAGAGTGGCTCCACAAAAAAAGTGAACTAGAGATTGAAAAGCTAGTTCAATGGTCAAAGAGAATGTTACCCATTATCAAGTTTCAGGAGAAAGAGAGAATCAAAGAAATAAAAAAGCAAATGGAGGATTTAAGCAAAGCAAAGGAAGAAAAAAGCAAGACAAAAAAAGCCAAACAACAGGAAGAGAAAAGAGAATTACTGGATGCCATCTTTGTACAAGGGCTCTGGAAGTCAAGGCAAGAAATAGAAATGAAACTACAACAGAAGTCAAAAACAGAGAAAAGAAAGATGCTGACTAGTCAAATAAAATTTAGACAGTTAATCCTAGAACAATCAGCTGACAAAAAAACTTTCCAAATAAGCAGAATTGAAGGCAAGCCAGTTACTGTAGATATGCTGATGTCGAACTTAGAGATCTTAATAAGATTGGAAAATGTATCAGGTAAGTCGTTAGTTATACAACTCATAAAACAAATACATTGAATTTTGGTATATGTTGCCTTGGTGAGACAGCAAACAAACAATACAGTCTAATCAAAATAGGAAATATATAACTTCAGATTGACCTGAACATTAACTCAGTAGATTTAATTTTGTTGAGTTATGCTAATCTACTATTACTAGTGCAATATTACAACATGTTTAATTGCATGAAAACAAAACTCATCATACAAAAATTCTTGTTAGTAGACATACTCTTTTAGTGAGAAAAAAAACCGTGCAGGCTTCTATAAATTAGAAGTTGAGTTTCAACAGACCAGCACATGTGGTGATTGACAAAGAAGTAACTAAATTGCAATTAAAGAAAAGTTATTTACAAACATAATTTTGATTAAAAAAAATGAAAATCGATGAAAACAGCTGACTGAGTACTTAAAACAAACTTTCTTTTAATCAATTTGATTTTTGTTGTATAGATTTCAAACTACGAATACGCTTTATATATGTAAATATACAACAACATAACATACATTAACTTTTTTTTCAGAAGTAGAAGAAGAAGTAGAAGAAACACTGACAGAAGAATGAAAGGCGACATAACATTTACTTAAAATTGAAATAAAACACATTTTCTTTTTGATGAATTTTAAATATAAACAAGTGGAGATGTTAGATAAACTTAAATGAGACAGCAACCTAACAGTTCAATCACAATATATATCTGGAGGTCATGTCAAACTGTATGCAAAAATGAAGATTGTGGTTTACATTAAAATTTTAATACATATATAATATAGTTTGGTTGAAAGTTAGCTATTCTTTAAGGCGTTGATACATTTTGCCAAATTTATTTAGATTTCTTTTTTAAGAACTTGTCAATTAATGTTTTCTGTATTCCATGTTTAGCATAGTATATCTGTATAAAAATTAGGTGATGTGGTATGATTGCCAATGAGACAACTGTTTTTGATTTTTTTTGGATATCTTCTTTTCTTGTCTGGCTATGTCTTTTATGGCCACTTCATATGGACTTCCCTCCTTGATGAGTTTGCATGGTAACTATGTAACATTAATATTTTATCTCTTGCATATTTTTAAGGAATAGCATTCTTTTAATGTGTCATGACATTAAACATGATATACATTTTTTAGAAATTTTTATGGTTTGAAATAACGTTATTTTCTGAACATCAATTTTTGCTTAAATGGGATATTTTGGTACTGCTATGACCTTCTCCGTGCTCTCTACAGTACATTAACATATATAATAATTGTTTGATAGTGATTCATTATGTATATTTTAAATTACTAAGGTATTTCAAAAGTGCAATATGACAATTATTTAGTCTAGTGCCATAAGATCAAAACAAGCCAATTCCTCCAGGGTAGAAAACGCGCCAAAAGGGGAGACAATGTCCTTGAAAAAAAATGCCCCATACTGATGACCAGAAATAATGTCTTTTTTTCAATAGATATTAAGTATTCTTCAAATTGGGGTACACAAAAAATTCTCTTCTGTTAAAATGGTGAAAGCTGTAGTCACTAATGAGGGGAGCAATAAGACAAAAAAAATGGTATTAAAAGGATGCTGCAACTATATTGAATCTGACGAAAACTTCAGAAGGTTGAGACCATTTTTTGTAAATGAGTGCCTGAAAAGTAATTAGACGACATCATTCTTTTCTCGATTAACTTTCAAATAAATCAACAGGGGTCTGTTGTTCAACTTGTCGTTAGTACTAACGAGTCGTTAAAATTTCTTAATCATTTGATTAAAAATAATCATATGATTAGTGTGTTGTTCAACTTGTCGTTTATTTGAATGCGGTGTTAAAAATGCGTAAACTGTCGTTAAACTTGAATCCACCTCATGAAGGTGTATTAAATTTTAATCATGCGATTAAAACATCTGAAATGGCTGCGCATGCTGCATCATTGTAAAAATTGGTTTATGCTAGTAAAATGAGACGTTTTAGATGTATTTATCCCCTTGAAAGGGATTTTAGCAATGATCAGCTATAAAAGCACTTTAGATTTGAAAGAAACACAATAAATTTGTTAGGAGTTGAGTTGAAAATCAAATTGGAAAGGGATTAGAAAAGTCGAGGCAAAGGGTAGGACGGATACACAGAATGGTCATCAGATAACAGAAAGAAGTTGCACATATCGACAGTTTTCTTTTTGTATATCATATGTTACTGCTTCCCGAGCAGTGTTGATTGTAAAGAGGGGACACATTATTGTGCGGACACATTCAACAAATTACGACGAACCCGCTTTTGTGAAAAATAAAGGTTACCATAGCATTAATGTAGAGGCCATAAGTGATTTCCAAAGCAAGTCTTTACTAATTTTCCCTTTTTTCGAAGTTCAAATATTAGCACATTTAATAGCGCCCTTGACCTTACTGCTTACGAAGGTACATTTTTAATGGCTCAATTCGGCCCACAGATAGATCGGACCATACGATATGAATCTGTTTACGTAGTTTTGTTTCATCAAATATGTATTTATTTCCCTTTAGTAAAAATGATGAGCTTAACGAGGATCCAGATATTTTATAATAAAACTTTCTATAATAAGTGTTTTATGTCAGTGATTAAGTATAACATACAGTGAATAAAAAGTCTTGTATTTCTCAGGTTACACAATATACAAAAACAAGCACCTGTTACTCAGATTTGGGAAACATCATTTCAGACAGTCAGGGATTTAAAAAACAAACTTCTTATACCCTTGTGGCTGATGGGTAGTGGGCCTATTACTAGTACCTTCAGGAAACCAAAAAAATTCCAATCATTCATATCACCAATATATGATATTGCATGATTTTTTTTTCACTGAACACTGTTTCTCCCATGTCTCCGGTAAAAGACTCAAGGTCCAAGTAAGACATGATAAAAGATAAATTGCAGCAAGATCATAGAGCATCCTTATAATATAGTATCAAACAAATGCTCCGGGTTGAAGGCCGTACCTTGACCTATAATGGTTTACTTTTATAAATTGTAACTTGGATGGAGAGTTGTCTCATTGGCACTCATACCACATCTTCCTATATCTATATATATTTCCGCCATATATTTTACTGTTACATGTATGTGAGTAATAATCGCAGGAGCAGATCCAGCCATTTTAAAAAGGGGTTTCCTATCATATTTCCCCATTCAAAAGCATTGAACGCCAAAAAGGCACCAAATAACTAACTGAACAATTGCTCCTTGTCACGAAGGGGGGGAGGGGGGGGGGGGGGGGGGTGGAAGTTCTCAATCTACAAATTTGGATACCAGCTTGTTTGCTTTCATTGGTCATCCTTGGGTTAAAGCATTAGAGATACCTTTGTCACAACCATTGCTATATTTTAAGGTTGTATTATGTTTTGTATATATTGCCTTTACCTGAAAAAATATTATTATTCTTTTTATATAGGAAGATGACCCCCCCCCCACCCCCCCCACCCCACCCCCCCCCCCCCCCCCCCCCCCCCCATGTCCTTGTATATATATGTATTGATCTTTCTGGTTGTGCCTGTCCCAAGGCAGAAGTCTATAATTCTGTGGTTGTTGTTTGTTGCTATGTATCATATACATATATCATATATATCATAAATCATATATCATATTTGTTTTTTCGTTTATTGTATTGAATAAAATCAGGTCATTATTTTGCAGTATATGGGTTTTGCCCTTTTTTAAAAGCCGTAAGGTGACCCATAGTTGTTAACTTCTACGTCATTTGGTCACTGGTGGAGAGTTGTCTCATTGGTAATCATACCACATCTCCTTAATTTCATATTTATTATTATGCACCCACCTATACTACATGAATATCGGTAAAACAAAGATACATCCTCGTGTTGGATATGGCATTAAACTTACAAAATTGAAGAATTAAATTGTCACATGGTGTCTTCTTATGCCGTAGGAGTTATAACATGTGTTATTGTTCACAGTTCTGAATTTATTTTCACCATCCGTAATAATTATCTAAAATGTTAACTTTGCATGCCGTACTTGATAGAAATTCGGACGTGAAAGAAAGCACTCCTTACCAAAGCATCAACGGAGATAACATTCCATGGATGTTACATTACTAAGATTTCGTCATTCACCAAACAAAAACTCAAAAAAACATGGAATCTGTATTAACACCAGAAATTACAGGTTTTTGAAGGACAACTTCTGTGAACAAAAAAATCAAAAACTCTGGCCCTAGTCATGATCAGTCATGGGTGAATAGAAATGTTTATTATTGTTTATTGTACCCGAAAGCATATTTTGTTAAAAAGAAAGCATTAGTTTTGGCATTTCTGATCATTTCTAAATTATTTTTCCCTTCAAGCACATTTCATTTTGAACTCAAACAGACAAAATATGGACATGTCATTAGATATACTAGTATTCAATCATATCTGGCACCCAAAAAATATATAAAAGTAGAAGGCTATATTATGATACAGAAAAAGGATGTTATAGGCCCCGATTTACAATGCATTGTGGGAAACACTTGCTAATTACCCAAAATTAATCATATGATTAAAAATTAATACAGTGATTGAAATAAGATGAACAACAAAATTTAATCATTTTATTTACTAATCATGTGATTAAATTTTAACGACTCGTTAAAATTAATCATATGATTAGTTTAACGAAAATTTGAACAACAGACCCCAGATTAACAATTGATTATTAACAGATGTGGCGTATTTTTTTTGACAATGAATGATAAATATTTCAACAATTGTGATTCTTCATTTACATTCATCTTGCTCGAGTCCATCTTTAAAATGTGAAATTGGTAAAATAATAAAGAGTATAGCTGTTGTTTATGACTGTCCAGTTTCGTCATTTTATAAATTATAAGAGGACATGGGGCCTTTAGTCATAAAACGTTCAAAAATGATTATCAGACTAAGAAATTAAAGTGATATGCAATACATCGGGAAAATATTAATAATATCTCAAAGTTGAAGACGTTCATTTTCACTAACATTTACATATGTTATAGTGTTATTTACTGGCTGTTTCTGTATTGGCCTTGTTATAGATTCGAGGTTAGCTGTATAGGAGAGTCGAGGGCCAATAAAGCTGATCGAGAATTTATAACAGGGCCAATACAGAAACAGCCAGTTCATAACACTTTTATTAAATGATTTAAATTCTTTGATTAAAATAAGAAACTTACCGCGAAGAAAATACAGAAATTCATATCTGAACTTGTCTTTTTGCAGTCCCGATGGATTTGTTTGTCAACATTGATGTAATTCGTTATTTCTCGTCCAAGAACTTAATCTTATGCATTACAATTCGTTTTATCTAGCAAATATAAAGTAGTTGAGAAAAATAAATCAGACAGTTTAACCATTATTACTCTTGAATCGTCTGCGTTCTGATAATGATTGATCATCGGAAATGAAACAGTGATAATAATCGAAAGTTTTACTAGAAAAGGCTGTGAAATATTTCCGTTTCAAGACGTTACAAAACACGGAACATCATTTAAACTTTTTTTTATGTTATTTTAAGTTAAACAATATGATACAAATGTATTTTATGCATAATGATACTTTCAAAGTTAAGTAAGCTTTGACGTAAGAAAATTAAAACCGAAAGTGAACGTCCCGTATTATCCCATGGCCAAATACGGCTTTTTTTGTATTGGACTGGTCCGAAAAGCAATATTTACTCTTGATTTATATCGATAGGGCAACGTTATGAGTATTGCACATGCTGATTTATCCGTATTAGGGCTGATTTGCTCATATCATTTAATAAGAGATAATACGATATCTCGT